CCCCCCCCCCCCCCCCCCCCCCCCAAAAAAAAACACTCTGAAGGCACTTTGACCAGAAACGAGGCACTCTGATTGGTCAGTGTTCTGAAGTCAGGAAGTCTGACCATTCAGGGTTGGCCGGGTCAACATCAGACATCAACCTCATGTAGCACTGTTGCCCAATTCTTGTGCTGACGCATTCCATGTGCTGCGCCGCGTGACTCAGCTAAGCAAGCGCCGTCAGAGCAGATTCTGCTCGGTAAAAACCGTGTCTTCATTCGCGAGCAAGCGTTGGTTGTACGAACTGCATTGAACGTGCCAAATGGGATGGACAGCAATACACGCAGCGAGCTGAACTGTAGCAGCAGGTGCATTGCTTTGGGACACAAGACATGCAAGTGGCGCACGAAATTTCTACCCATCTACGCCTTGTGCGAAGCAACAGCCACCCTTTTGCATCGAGTCAAAAATTAAGTTCACACGATTTGGCGCGAAGAACCGAATCGCGAAACAACGATTTCACGGGTGGCGGTATGTCCTCTTGCACCGATTCGCCGTGCGGTTCGCGAATCCGTTGTGCAATCCGCTAAAAACGGCCTTTTTGACTAGTTAAATATGTCGCTTCGGTTAGCCGAAGCAAATTAACCTCGGATGGGTATTAGTGACTAAAAAGTGTACTCACGTGTCCTGGCTGGTGCATTGCACGTGCTCACTTGCTGAAGGTGGGTGTATCGGAACGAAGTTTCTAGGAAGCTTCGTCTCGATAGACTCGCATTCAGGGCCCAAAGAACGTATACTCTGTAGAGACAGACTCCAAAAACAACTAACACTGGAGCCTATTGCACTGAATCAGGGGCCATAAAAACAATAAGTCTGAGGCTCTCAGTGATGAAAATTGGACTACTCTGGAAATACATTTTTCACAAACTAGATGGTCTGATTCGTCAGACTAAACTGGGGCTCCTGTGCGCCTTGCACTAGTTTTAGGAGCCCCAAAATTTACAGCAACTCCCAAGGCACACATGCTGTCTCGCCAATAGCTGGGCAGCACGCACCTAGAGTCACCCGATATTTACATACGTCGTCGCGTTACTCACACGGAACGTGACAGTCAAACGAGTGCTTCACCACGCTACCCCACGTTTAGCGCGTGTATTCACCCGCGCTCTCCCTCGCCACCCGCGCCCGCCCTCGTCACTTGCGCCTGCCCTCGTCACTCGCGCCTGCCCTCGTCACTCGCGCCTGCCCTCGTCACTCGCGCCTGCCCTCGTCACTCGCGCCTGTCCACGTCACTCGCGCTTGCCCGGGATTCCGTGCTTCTGCTCGTCATCCGTTTCCCTTTGTCGCGCGCATTTCCGCCAGTCACGCACGCGCCTTCACGTCACGGTCGCTTCCCCTCGATTCGCCCTCTCCTCCCGCGCGTTTCAACTCGTTACCCGCTATCCTCCCACGCGCGTCACGTGCGCTTCCCTTCGGCAGACGCCCTGCTCCCCTCGTCACGCGCTCAATCATTCAGTCGCGGTCTTCCGTAGATCAATAGCTGAAGCCGACGTCACGCGCATATGCCGTTGCCCCAGTTGCTGCTGCCTGGCCCTCCCCTCTTGTCGTCGCCTCCGCCACCCCAATTGGATGGCGTTTGTCCTTATCGCCAACCCCTACCCACGTCGCCATCGGCACCATCGTGTGTAGCATCTCCCTCATACGCCCTTGCTCCGTCCAGCCGCAGTGAGTGCCTACTGATGTGATGGGCAGAGAAGGAGGGACAGAGGGGGATGACCAGCTGAGGGGGGGATGGTGTCACATTGAAAGCTTGATTGATGGGCGGTGGACAGGAAGGGAACGGGCTGGGGAGATAGGAAGGTCAGAAGGATAAGGACAAGGGGGAGAGGTGGAAGGACAAAGGGGGAGAGACAGAGGGGGGAGGAACAGGGGGGAGGGCAGAGGAGGAGAGACAGAGGGGGAAGGACACAGGTGGATATACAGAGGGCAAAGGGACGAGAGGGAGAGACAAAATGGGAAGGATGGAGGGGGAGGGAGGGGGAAGGGCAGAGGGTGAGAGCCAGAGGTGAGAGCGGGTTTACCGCCCAATCTATTGTGGTTTGCCTCACCTGCTTCCCCCCTCCCTCCTCCTAGCTTCCCCCCTCCCTCCTCCCTGCTTCCCCCCTCCCTTCCCCCTGCTTCCCCCCTCCCTCCTCCCTGCTTCTCCCCTCCCTCCGCCCTGCTTCCCCCCACCCTCATAGAGGTGAGCGTCATGCACCAGGTGAGCCTTAGCTTTCTCCATATGCAACCCCTCTACCTCGATTCAACCATCTTGCTTGTCCCTCCCCATGTACCTCTCCAATCCCTCCCCATGTACCTCTCCAATCCCTCCCCATGTACCTCTCCAATCCCTCCCCATGTACCTCTCCAATCCCTCCCCATGTACCTCCAATCCTCCCATACCTCTCCCATCCTCCCCATGTACCTCTCCAATCCCTCCCCATGTACCTCTCCAATCCCTCCCCATGTACCTCTCCAATCCCTCCCCATGTACCTCTCCAATCCCTCCCCATGTACCTCTCCAATCCCTCCCCATGTACCTCTCCAATCCCTCCCCATGTACCTCTCCAATCCCTCCCCATGTACCTCATCCCTCCCAATCCCTCTCCAATCCCCCATGTACCTCTCCAATCCCTCCCCATGTACCTCTCCAATCCCTCCCCATGTACCTCTCCAATCCCTCCCCATGTGCCTCTCCAATCCCTCCCCATGTGCCTCTCCAATCCCTCCCCATGTACCTCTCCAATCCCTCCCCATGTACCTCTCCAATCCCTCCCCATGAGCCTCTTCTCCCCCTCCCCATGTGCCTTTCCTCTTCATCCCACGCACAAGGGGGCAGCGCAGCAGAGTTGGGAACAAGCTCATTTTCTATTCACCCCCTCTTCCTGCCTCCACCCGACTCCTTGCAGGGCTATTTGGCGTTCATTCACATCCGGAAGGAGGAGGGTGGGCGCAGGTGCAACTAGGGGGCAGCGCAGCAGACTTTGGAACGAGCTCACGTTCCCCATGCCCCGTGCTCTCTCGACTTCCCTTCTTATTCCAGACCTATCTGGATTGCATTCACATTAGCAAGGAGAAGGGTGGGCGCATGTGCATGTTTATGCTTACACAAGCAGGAGGACCATAGCTCCACACAGATGGCGACAGCACTGGTTGCTAAAGGTGTTGGCATTAGCACTGATTGTCACATGCTGGTTGAACAGAGGCAGTTCATAAGGCTAACTCCATCCTCACTTCCAACTGCCTAAATTGTCTATGAATACTATAATATGTGCAAGCGGTCATTCAATGTGTCGCTATGCAGATTGTTACGAACGTAGATGCATCCTAGCATGACCAGGTTTAGGACAGAACGGGAAAGACCACTAAATGCACTCAAGCATGGCATGTTGAAGACCACAGGTGCATCATGGGGAAGTAAACACAACCTATTCACTCATCCTGACCTGCCACCCATAGCTCCACTTCCTCCCCATCGTAACGGCCTTCTATCCACCACTCATCACCACTGTCGCTCCACTCCCCCGCATCTCTTATCACTGCGTTTGCCGCATCCTCCTCCTGATCCGATGGGGTTTCATCCACATCCCTTTCACAGTGGTAACCTGCAATTAGCGCCAATGAGATGGATGGTAAGCCAGATTTTAGGACGGTGTGCCTGTCGCGCTAAGTAATCTCGGGGACAACCAGCTGGGCAAGGCAGGGGTGGGGCATGCTGGACCCCGGGGGGGGGGGGGGGGGGGGAGGGGAAAGGGTGGGGCGGGGCATGACAGGGCAGGGCAGAGCTGCAAGGACAGGGCAGAGCCGCAAGGACACGTGACACAACTGCAAGGACAGGGCAGATCTGCAAGGACAGGGCAGATCTGCAAGGACAGGGCAGAGCTGCAAGGACAGGGCAGAGCTGCCAGGACAGGGCAGAGCTGCAAGGGCAGGGAAGAGCTGCAAGGGCAGGGCAGAGCTGCAAGGACAGGGCAGAGCTGCAAGGACAGGGCAGAGCTGCAAGGACATGGCAGAGCTGCAAGGACATGGCAGAGCCGCAAGGACACGTGACACAATTGCAAGGACAGGGCAGATCTGCAAGGACAGGGCAGAGCTGCAAGGACAGGGCAGAGCTGCCAGGACAAGGCAGAGCTGCAAGGACAGGGCAGAGCTGTCGCCCTCGCTTCCTCCCACCGTCGCCCACGCTTCCTCCCACCATCGCCCACGCTTCCCCCCACCATCGCCCACACTTTCCCCCACCGTCGCCCACGCTTTCCCCCACCTTCGCCCATGGCAGGTGGTGGTGCGGCTTTGGAGCAGAGTGTTGGGCGCACAGCCTGGGCAGCGCGTGCATGCGGGCAGCAAGGAGTGCAGTGCTGCAGGGGGCGGGTTAGGGGAGGCGGAGCGGGGGAGGCGGGGGTTAGGGAGAGAGGGTGCAGGGATCCTCCTATCCCCCTTATACCCTGCCACACTCTTACCTCCTGCCCTCCTCCCTTCCTCCGTTTTGTGGGGCCCCCACAGTCGTCCTCCTCTCCCTCTCTCTTCCACCCTTCCTCCATCTATCCCACACTCTCTGCCTCACTACCCTCTTTCCCCTTTCTGTTGCTCGTTATCCCTCCCTTCCTCCCGCCCTCCCTTCCTGCCATTCTCCCTCTCCTCATCCTCCCTCGATCCAGTCCCCCTTTCCCTTTCCATTTCCCACTCGCCCACTCCCTTCCTCACGCCAACCCTGCTCCTCCGTTCCACCCATCCTCTCATCCGCCCATCCTCTCATCCGCCCATCCTCTCATCCGCCCATCCTCTCATCCGCCCATCCACTCATCCCCCTTTCTCTCATTCGGCCATCCTCTCATCCCCCTTTCTCTCATTTGGCCATCCTCTCATCCCCCTTTCTCTTATCCGCCCATCCTCTCATCCCCCTTTCTCTCATTCGGCCATCCTCTCATCCCCCTTTCTCTCATTCGGCCATCCTCTCATCCCCCTTTCTCTCATTCGGCCATCCTCACATCCCCCTTTCTCTCATTCGGCCTTCATCCTCCCTCCCAACCCTCTGTCTCCTCCCTCACCTCCTCTCCTTCGTCACCACCTCTCCTCCCTCTTCGCCTCCCATTCCACATCTCCGCTGTGCAGATCGTGGCCTCAGCACCCGGGTTTCAAGAGAGTTTCTGTCCCCTCTTGTTCCCATCCTCACCTCCATCTGATCCTCCCATCCTCCATCCTCGTTACCTCCCTGCCACCCTTTCTCCTCCCCACCCTCCTCCCCAGCCTCTCTTCCTCCCCTCCCTTCTGCTTTTCCCCCAAGCGTCCTTCCTACCTCCCTTCCTCCCATCATCACTTCCTGTCTTCCTTCATTCCTGCATTCCTCACTTCTTCCCTTCCTCCGTTCCTCCCTTCCACTTGCCAGTTGTCATTCTTTTGCATGCTTGCTTCCCTTATACTTCAGCCACGCCACATCTGACTTCTTGGTTTGTGTTTGGACAGGTTTTCTCAGCATCTGATGGTGATGTGATGGCTGTCTCATAGTAACACTACGTATAGCCATGCCATGTATTGGATCCTTTTTTATAATACAGGACTATGAGCCTCGGAGCAGTCATACATATGACCGATACCAAGGAGTTCAACAATTATTATATTACCATATCTGTAAATTAAGGGGAATCACTCCACTCGAGTAGGGAACAATGCTGGGGGGTGTGCGTGCAACGTTGCTTCCCGGTTTTGACTGCTACACTGCAAGCTATAATCCAGGCCGTGGTAAAGCCACATCTGGTTCCGGGCACCTGTGACTGCATTTGGGGGTATGGTGGTGAGTGAAGGGAGGCAGGGGAGGGCACGGGCGGAAGGAGGGAAGGGGATGGGGGGAAGCAGGGATGGGGAGGGGGGAAGGCAGGGGAGGGGACGGGCGGAAGGAGGGAAGCAGGGATGGAGATGGGGGGAAGCAGGGATGGAGATGGGGGGAAGCAGGGATGGAGATGGGGGGAAGCAGGGATGGAGATGGGGGGAAGCAGGGATGGAGATGGGGGGAAGCAGGGATGGAGATGGGGGGAAGCAGGGATGGAGATGGGGGGAAGCAGGGATGGAGATGGGGGGGAACAGGGAAGAAGGAAAGGGTATATGTGTGGGTTGGAAAGGGGGAGTGACAAGTGTGCGAGATGGGAAGGGAGAAGGGAGGGATGGCGAGGGCAACGAGGAGTGGAAGGGAGGGCGACGGGGAAACCGAGGGCGACGGGGGGAGAGAGAGACGGGGATTGCGAGGGGACGAGTGGGAGCGAGGGTGACGAGCGGCAGGGAGGGCGACGAGACGAAGGGGGGCAACGGGCGGAAGGGAGGGAAAGAGAGCGTGAATGGGGAAATGAAGGCGACAGGAGGGGGAAATGAAGGCGACGGGAGGGGGGAGTGAAGGCGAAGGAAGGAGGAAGTGAAGGCGAAGGGAGGAGGAAGTGAAGGCAAAGGGAGGAGGAAGTGAAGGCGAAGGGAGGAGGAAGTGAAGGCGACGGGAAGGGGAAATGAAGGCGGGGGAAGAGGGGGGTGAGGGGGGGGAGGGAAGGTGACGGGGAAGAAGTGAAGGCGACGGGGGGGAAGTGAAGGCGACGGGCGGAGCGAAGGCGACGGGCTGGGGTCGCGAACGAGACGAGCTGCGGAAGCGATGGCAATGACGCGGGCGACAGAGAGCGGAAGCGTGGGAAAGGAAAGCAAGTGCCGAGGGGAGGGTCACGTTTGGGCGAACGGTTGCGATTCGATTTCGCCGCGAGTTTACGCTACAGTGTAGTTGCACAATAACCTGCATTTTGACACAACAATCTTCACGCAGCGAACACTAGCTTTGCGCGTCATCATCGAATCCGCGCCACCCACATCGTAAGGCGCATCTTATCCCTTCTGAGTGAACGCCGACGCCCCGCCCTGTCTACAGGTATGGTCTGTGCCAAATACTCTGCATGCTATCTCAAGCTGTGCACAGTTTGGTATGCTCGCGCTTTTCTAGTTGTGGGAAGGACCCCACCCATTATGGGGAGCGAGAAACTTTGTCGCAAATTGGTTTCGCGAGTGAAAGTCTCTCGCAACCCAACCGAACCTCTCCGTGCCTGCCTCCCGAACCTAGTTCTAGCGTTGACTTCCGTTGAGTAATTCAGGTCTTGGGCTTTAAAGAGCAGGCATTGTCAGTACATGCTTGGACATGGAAGGGCATGGCATGGCATGCTTAGTGGTAGCAAACTAGGGCATGGCACGGCATGGCATTATTGTTTTGCAAATTTTGGGTTTAGGGAGGCATAGCGCGTGGGGTGTTAGTAAAATACCTTTGGGGATTTGGATTGTTGTGGTAGGCATCGTAGTGGTTATGTGTGATGCCGAGCAAGCCTCGCACGGGTTTGAAAGCTCGCTAGATGTTCGCGTCAAACGCTTAGCGTGGGAGGCTCGACACATCACCTGCAAGCAACAAGATGGAGTGGAAAGCGCGAATTGGTGAACAGTAGACGCTGGATAGGATGTTGGTGACATGAGTAAGAGCCATACTAAGCAATAAAAAAAACGCACGTTGCGCTCCCGTGGCTTACCCAAACGACGGCGTGCGGATCCACGAGACGGGCGGCACTCTCGACCGATCCCGCCTTTGCGCACTGGTGTCTTGGGCGCAAGTGCAGATGTCGTGGGCCGTCCGATCGAGGCATCGACCAGCTGCGCAGCCGTGGCTGAGGTATCCGGCGTCTTGTCAACGTCTACACTATCTTCAAATCGCAGTGTTCGTTGCCATTCCTCCATGATGCGATCGACCCAACCCCAATCCATTGGGGCAAAAATGCGCTCCTTAGATCTGCGCATTATCCTGGTCACCTGCCGAACTCTCGTGCGATAGGCGGTCACCAAACGGTCCATGCCGTGATTCAAATGAAGAACCGCGAGACCAACTCGTGCCGAGAAACTTCCCTGAAACCTAATCCGTTTTGGTGTGTATTTGACGATCAAAGAATGGAAGGACTCGTCGAGTGAACTGGATGCGCCATGCACAAACGACTTCACCTTCTCAGGGCTTAAGCGCATGGCAAACCGTTCACGAACCGCCTCGTGTGTCGACGACCCAAAATCATATATGGCATGCTTCCTGCCCCACCCCTCTCTGACGCAGCGAGGTGGAGTATCTCCTACCCCCGAGCAACAGCCGGAGTGGTCACCTGCCCAATGATTGGGTGGGCTCCCAAGCTCCCTCGCCACCTTGGCCGGGGTCATAGGATGCCCCTCTTTCTTCTTCGCACCACACCGCACCATGACGTGATAGAAATGAGCGGAGAAACGTTGAGCCACGGTTTGTTCCTCCTTGCCGGAATCGATCTGATCTACACCTCGTTTCCGCTTGCGATGACCAGTCAACCGAGGTAGTCTCTCGGGCTCGCTGAAAGCATTAGGCGTCTGAACCTCAGAATCAGCTCCGCCTCCACCAAGCGCAGATGTGAATGAGAGAAAAGGATAGATGAGAAGGGATCGAGAGTATAAAGTAGCACTTACATCAACCATGCTGTTAAAGTGTACAAGGGGGTGTATGCATAACTGACTCTGTGTCGGTGTTGGCCCAAGGAATTGATCCACCGATGAAATGAGAGTTTCCGTTTGCACCCGCGTGCGCAAGCATGATGAGGGTGCTCGCCAAAGACGCCGGTCTCGCACCCTGTGTCGGATGCACATCGTAACTCCATAGCTCCCCCACCTCCTCCCACCGAACGTGAACATTCACCTCGTCCGGTGTCGTTACATCCACGGAAACCCATTCAGCTCAATCATCCTGCTCCCGCACACCAGCATCAGAAGCAACAGGCACCTCACCGTAGTTCACAGGCACCTCCACCGTACTACACTCCCCGCCCACCCGCACCACTTTTCTTAGCTCGGGATACTTCCACTTCGCCTCCTCCGCAGTCATCTTCCTGTAAACAATCGTGCCCATGTCGTCACAAACTGATTCCACCAAAGCCTCTTTCAGAGAAGCTTTCGACTCTTTCACCAACCCCCGTCCTTTCAGCCATTCCCGTAGCCCATCGACAGTCGCAAGCCATAGATCCTCAATACATTTCGCCTTGTCCACAGCCACTAGTGCACGGACCTGATCCTGAAGTTCTTTCAGAAACAGATTGTAAAGAGTCCGCTTCACATGCCACCAGTCCACCTGGTGGTTCAATCCTCTTTCGGACGCTACCCCACAAAAAGTAGACCCTTGATCAGAGATGATCCCTTCCTTCGTAAGTCCTTTCTGCGCCAGTTCATCTAACCTTTGTCGAAAGCCACTCTTTACAGCCGCACCGCAGATGTGTCGTCCACCCCTTTCTGTGTCGTGGCATAGTACATTATCTTCCTTGACGGTAAATCTAAGAACGATAATGTACACCACTCTCCTTCTCGAACATGGGACCATCGACCATCGACCACTACATATTCTGCAGGGACTTCACGCTTCAGCATCTCTTCTCATACCGCAACCATAGACTTATCAGCCTCTCTCAGTATAGCATTCCAAAGCCCATTATCATCACCAAGGTACTTATAGAACGTGCCATTCCCCGGAAGGCCGAAGTTGCGACAAAAATCCCACATTTGCTGATACCCCATTCCGGCTAAAGCAAACACACCGGCAAATTTTGATTGTAGCATTGGAGAACGCGCGCCTACACCGGTTCGTGCTCTTTCTATACGCCGGCTCGGACATGGCCAAAACTCTACGCCATGCGAGAACGCGTCACATCGCCAGAACATGCCGACCGATGCCCGTGAGAACTTCAATGATCTCAATGTCATCCTCTCACTACACGCGCGCTCATGTGAACACACCAAACGACACCCTTAGAAGAACCTAACCAGCTGCCGTGGCTCGACAAGACATAGCCGTTGCCCCTCAATATCATCGATGCTCGGAGAAGAAGGCCAGTGCTTAGGGACACTCCCACGCCCAACTGCCCGTCGGTGGCTGTTGGCAGGCCTAGTGGACAGAAAAAAAAAGGGGAGTTTGGACATGGATACTATGACATGTAAGTTATTGCACAATGACATCATGCATATTCAACCCTCACCCACTAGTCTCACCCTTGCACTGGCCGTTATGATGCCGCCATCGAACTCGGTGTGGGCGCAGCCACCGTAGCATCTCCATGCGTACTGGCAGCGCCCCCATTAGCATCCAAGCCGTCCCTCTCCACAACGCCCACGGCTGTCGCATCTGGGAGTTCGGTCCCGATGTCGTTGCCACTACCACTAAGGTTGGCCCCTGACACATAAATGGCATGATATAGGAGTGTTGTTTATTAGTCACTTCGAAGACAAGAAACCTCCATATGCATCTTCCAAATCATACCTGAATTACGTGTCGCTGCAAATGCCGCGCCACGCCTGGCGCCTCCCCATGATCGACCAGAAACATGTCGCAATCTTCCGCGCGCATCATATTGTACTAGCGGGAAGAAGTATCTAAGCCCGGCAAGGACTCGATTGGGCCTTTGTTGCAGGTCTGCCACATGCTCGAGACTTCTTTTAGCGTGTTCTTTGAAGATGCGACCGTACTCATTTCGGTGTCTTTCCACAATTGCGCCGGTATGTGTGTCATTTGAAGAAGGATCTGTGAGGCACAGGATGTACAGGCACGTGACACATTTCACATGTTTAACACATCCAGCAGAAGGCTGCCCTTAATAGTGCATATCATGCACAATTCCAACGCCCGTCCAACCCTTGTGAAATACCTGCTGCTAGGCCCGCCGCAATGAGTCGGCTGGTCGCTTGAGGTGCAGACTCCGTCAAGAAATGAATCACATCATCCGTCGTCGCCATTGTGTCCCCAAGGTACAATGTCGAGAGCCCCACGCGGAGCACGCACAGAAGTGGCCGCATGTGGACCAAAATCTTGACTGTCCCTCTCTGGGCATCCTTACATGCCTGTAGTGCAAGATGCCCTCCCGTCCCTACACCCACCTGTGCCATATCGAAGCATGTCAGCACATGCCCCAAGGAGAGCGGGAGAGGTGCGGGGTCAGGGGTAGGGGGCCAGGGGCAAGGTTTAGGGTAACTTAGGATAAAAAAGAAATTTGCAATTGCACGCCAAGCAACACACAATGGCTGTGTGCATGGTGGTGACAGCAGGCCCAAGGCGGCACCAACATTGGCTGCTACTGCCTTGGGACAGAGCAGGTGCGTGCATGATGGTGACAGCAGGACAAAGGCAGCAGCACCATTGGTTGCTGCTGCCTTGGGATAGCACAGGTGCTTATATGGTGGTGACAGCAGGCCCAAAGCATGCTTCCCAACATTGATTGCTGCTGCCTTGGGACAACACAGGTACGTGCATGGAGGTGACTCCAAGCAGATAGGACCCCCAAGGCAGCAGCAACCGTTGTTGATGGTTGCTGATGCCTTTGCCTCGTG